TTGTCCGTTCCAACAACATTTCAACGGGCTTATCAGTCTTATTCGCTTATCTAACTAAGTTAAAAAGGTTTTTACCTCAAGTTCCTTTGTTTTTTTTTTTCATTTTTTCAAGGTTTGGCCAGCTTTTTTTTTGTTTTTATACAATGATTTTAACACTGATCAGAAAATTGAATTGATCAAAACTTTAAGGCCTCTCCCGAAATTTTCTAAAAATTTGTTGTCTTCTTTGGTTGCTCCCTAACATTTGCAGAACATTGCAAACGAACATCCGCAAAAGCCGCGCGCAGGATATCGATCCTGACAGTTTTATTCGGAACTTCCTGGAGCCAGATCAAAGAAACTTTATTGGTTACTTAAAGCTGCGATAATACCAGTTTTAGACGATGCAAGCCCAGCCTGCTCCCTGGGTGCCATTAAATTTTCTTTAAAAAACCTGCAAACAGTTGAGAATGCTGCTCTCCTCGTGATTATTGTGTGCACAAAGATGGGCGCAAAAGAACATTTATATTTAAGAACGTGAATTTTTAAATCTGGACCACCACAATCACCAGTGGCGTTGCAGTTCACCCTCCAAACTTTTGATTCATCAAACGCGCTACTTTTCTATCATCAATATCTCAAACACCCCACGGAATATCCGACCTTCGTTGCTTGACTTATACGACCCTTATGAGACATAGAATAGCCCCCAAGGAATATCCGCACTCAGTGGATCAATTTTATTTTTACGCCCCCGTGAGACTATCTTATTACAAACTAACACTCTTCCGCCTTTCAGAAATTTTAGTGAACAAAGTTCATTTATAAACAACATTTTTAAAGTATATAGAAGGAGTTGAACAAGACATAACAATTGCACCATCCTCCAAAAGTTGTGCCCCTTAGACTACCTAAAGCCTCCTCCGCCCAAAATACCTCCCTCGTTTCACTAGTAGAATCTTTGCTTAATTGAGATCCGTTTACAAACCCTTCATAAATACGTTCCTGGGGGACGTTCCCGAATTGACCACAACGCCCCCCCCCCCCCAAACTGCCCGTATTGTCCTTACCCACAAATACTCTTCATATTTTTCACTATTCCTAGAGCAGCACTTTCTTGACCCAAATAAGCATGTGATTCGTCCGACGAAATTGTGACGTTTCTGGGACTCTGTTTAAGCATGCCGGAAGCGCTCCATCGGGGCTGAAAACAACAAAAACAAAAACAACAATCTGACTACGCGAAAGTGCAACGTGAAAAATACAGATGGATAAAAACGACCATAAGGCGCAAAAAAAGGCGCTCAAGAATAAAGAGAAACTGATTATGCTTGAACAGGCTGCATTGCTTCTCAAAGATCCTCTACGAATCGCAGAAACCACAATTTTTGTTGGATAAATAGGAAAAATTGGAATTACTATTGGAATCAGGAAATACTAATTTTTGGGTGTTTCAGCGCCATTATAAGAACAAGAGTTTCAAAAATCTTTAAAAAAATGTCAAAATTGTGTAAAAAATGATTGAAATAATTTTCAACGATATTTTTTTCCGTTTCTTAAGTTTTGATTTCAGAAACTGCTTTCCAGTTGGCTTATTCGACTATGATTTGTAAATATGCCAGGTTTTTTGTTCAGTTTTTTTTATCACACCGCACAGAAAAAATACTTTTTTTGAAATACTTGAAAAACATTTTTTTTGTATTCTCTAAGTCTATACTCGGAACATTGTGCGCATCTTGCACAGTAACCAGCTATCCTTGTTTAATTTTGTCGCGCAGATTTTTTTGAAAAGACTTCGAACAAGGTCGAAAAACAATTTTTTTTCTATCTTTTTGGATAGCGTATCGATTTCAGACCTCCGCCCGGCATCCTACGAAGTCTCCTCGCAATTGCATAGAATATCGTTTAGAGGCCTGCCTAGATAAATTAATGAAAATTTCAGCAAAAAATTCGCTAAGCTATATAAGACATTGTACAGAACAAATCGCTTAAATTTGGGTATGTTTTCATATTTTCGAACTTGTTATAACTTCAGTATTTGTGGCAAAACAGGTTCTACTAGCACAGTTTGGACACTCTTCCAAGACCTAAAATATTGTAGCATAGTTTTGCGGGTTTCTACGAAAGCGGAAGAATGACATTGTCCCACTCCAAATGGGTGCTGATAGAGTTGACTATTATTTTGGTATCAGCTCGGGAATCCCAATTATCACAAAAGTAAAAAAAATAGACGAAAAAATTGACAGGTGAAATAACTTGAAAATGTGAATGGGTTTGAGTAGTTTCTTGGATGCCGGGATGTAATACGGAGATGCATTTTATCGAAACGAGATACTGCAAAGTAATGCTCACATTACAGAGTACCCTAAAAAACAAATGATGATTGTATTAACTATAATTAAGCACCAAAGTGTTAGGAAAACAAGTTACGATACGGCGTGACTTTTTGAAATAAACCCTACGCAGAGGGAGCTTTGAGAACACAGTTATCGTTAAGGAGATTGGAACCCTTGAGACAATCGGTCCTTTAGACAATTGTGACCTTTGGATGACCAGGACAGGACGTTTAGTTGATCGCTATTTCTGTGTCTTTTGAGACAGTTGAGACAGTTCGGGTTATTGTTACCCTTGAGATAATGAGTTACTTTTACCTTTCAAACGAGATGACTCAAACATTGAGACAGCTCAAACCCTGCAATATTTTGGGATCGTCCCTTTTTGCGAAAAACGTTTCTTCAGCCAATACTATGTCTTTTCTCTAAGAAAATTACAGTTGAAATTATTTCAGATGTTCGCGATTTTTTTTGGTCTAAATTAGTTCTTAGTCGAACTTTTCTTTGTTCAAAACATTCATTTTTCAAACTCCGTTGTTTTTAACACAGTATTAATTTTTGTGCCACGTTTTTCCTGGGCCAGGTTTTTCCTCGGTTGACACAACTTTTCAGTCGAACTTGGTCGAAATGTTTTTCTGCGTTCGAGCAGAATCAATAGTTTACATGCGCCGAGACGTTGGAAATATGAGACCTGCCTCCGCTTGAAACACACAAACTTTTAATCAAGTCAAATAAAACACAAATTGCAACCTGTGAACCTTTATTGTTTCTCTGATAAGTAAGAGTAGAAGTTTTTAAGAATTTGGAATTTTCTCAAAATACAACATATTTTGTACAAAATTTAAGACGTAGCCGCTTAATCACAGAGGCTTCGTACAATCTGTTGCCTCCATTACACCATTAACATCAGATTCAGACGGGTAATTGGCGAAAAAAGTTAACAATTTTCAAGAACGGACAAGAAATCAAAAAATTGATTTTTCTGAGAGCCAAAATTTTTTTGTAATAAAATTTTAAACATAGCCGCTTAAACAGGAGAATTTTTCCCAAACGTTTGCATTGAACCAAAAATCTTAGATTTGAGATGGTAGTATTAGGACAAAAAGATTCAAAAACGGTCAAAAAATTAACTTTTTGATTTTTTTCTAGGATTCATAGTTTTAGTGGAAACGAGATCATAGCCGCTTATGCAGAGAAGCTTCAAACTAACAGCTCTCTGCATTAAACCTAAAATCTTGTATTTGGATAAGCGTTTTATGAATAAGTCAAAAAGTTGAATTAATGGACAAAAATTGTACGTTTGACTTTTCCAAAGGTCGTAACTTTTCATTTCAAAAAATTGGGAGGTAACCGTTTATCACAACCCTCTATCTGATTGAATTCCAAGTCTATGATTTGGGAGAACAGTTTTTAATAAAACTTCAAAAAGTTTCGAAAAACTCAAAAAATCAAAAATTTGGCTTTTACGAGGGCCTGTAACTTCTGTGAAGACATTTGCGTGTAGCCTATTATGCTGGAGATCTTCCCACTACCCGTTCTCTCCATGGAACTCAAATTTCCAGAATTGGGCGAAAAGTGTTTGAAAATATTCAAAAAATTTTAAAACAAGGTTTTGACTTTTCCGAGAGTCAAAACTTTTCGTCCAAAAAAAACGGAAGGCAGCCGTTTTTACGAGGAAGTTTACCACAACCCATCTATTTCAAAAAGTCAAAATGATTTAGGAAACAGTCAAAAAACCGAAAGTTTGACTTTTGCGAGGGCCACAACTTTTTCTGTAAAATGGTATGGGCGTAGCCGTTTAAAAAACCTTTCATCCAATGAATTCAAAATCTTTAATTTGGGTGGGCAGTTTTCGAGAAAATCAAAACAATCTAGAAATGTAGCAGTGGAAAAGTCCCCCACAGACTAGTTTGAAGGCTGTAGAAAGTGAGGTAAGGTACAAAAAAGAGACTAGGGGATTATGCAGGCACATGGGAGAGTGAGGGATCTTACATTTTTGAGAGAAAGTAGAGTTGAGAAACTAAAATGTTTGAGAGTTCGAATTTTTTTCAAAAAAATGAAATGAAACAAAAAAACATAAGAACTCGATGCCATGCATTTTCTATAATACCTTTTTCTATCAAACAGGGTTTCAAGGGCTTCACTGGTATATGAAACACTAGCTAAACTAGCTGGTTATTTGCGAGTTTCTCTCAACCTTTTATTTGAACAAAACCAAAATCTCCTATTTGATTTTTAAGAAATAATTTTAAATTTTCAAAAACGGAAAATAAAAAAAGTTTTTTTTTTACAAAAATTTGAACTTTTTTTCAAAAAAACCAATGAGATTAGCCGCCAAAAAAAGGAAGCTGTCCACAAACCGTTTAGTCAATTAAACGAAAAATGTCAGATTCTGCAGGGTGGTTTTCAAGAAAATTCAGAAATTTTCGAAAGTGGTAGAAAAATATCAAAACTTGGACGTTTTTGAGGGCAGTAACTTGTTGTTGAAAATCAATTGTGTTTAGTCGCTTATGCAGGGCAGCTTCAAACAACATAATTTTTTGATGACAACCATTATCTTCGATTAGGGAGGCCAGTTTTCGAGGAAAAAATATCCCAATTAAGCTGAACGTTCATATTTCGAAAAAAAGAATCAATTTTGTAGTTAATCTCTTTTTTACAGTATTCGACTTTTATGCTCGATTAAAATGAACAGTTTGAATGTATATTTGAACCATTCTGTTATTTTGACACACTCGCAAAGCCATGCATACATACTGCCACAATTTGAAAAGATAGTTAAGATAGCCGAATTAAATTAATATACACTAATTGAACTGCAATTAGTTCAAAGAGCGATAGAGAGAGAGAGAGATAGTTTTCGCCCTTCAATCTTGAAAACAAATGGTCGTTTGAAGTGTGCCTTTTTTAGTACTTGTAGAGTTTGACTTTGTGGACTTCTTTGTCAATGCACTCTCTGCTTTTGTTGAAGTACATGAAACAACCGTCTTTCCGGACCAGTTTCTTGATAAAGCCATTGTGGGGCCACCTGAAACATGGGCCACGATGCAAATCATGACTCGAATTTTTTAAATTCTTGAAAAATTTTGCAAGATTTTGATATAACTAGTCATAAATTGTGTCCCTTTTTTGCATGGACGAAGTTTGATGGCATCGGTAGACTTACACTCAATCATGCATAAGTTACTGCTTGCAGTGTTTGAATGAACGAAACAGGCACAGCAGGGAAAAATTGGCTACTCTCTAGTCAACAAACACTTTATGGCACAGATATCCTAAATCCTCTTTCCAACAAGGACAAGAAAAATGCACCAATATTGAAGTTACAAGCAAACCCATCATATTTCCAGGTCGATAAAAAGAGAGGTTGTTGTTCTCGAGAAACATAAGGGCAGGGTAAAGTACCTGTCAATCTTCTCCTGTGGGTTGTTCATCGAGTGCTCGAAGTCGAATAGGTCTCTGAATCCAGCACACTGGAACCGATAGTTCTCCTCCACACTCTCATCCCAAGTGTGAACTCTAAATATAAAGAAAGCATATCCATTATTCAAGGAAAACTTAAGAAACCCCTCTCGAGAAACACTACTTCGGTCCGCCTCTGTCTACTTAGATCCTACTATAAAAAATAGTGGTTGCTGTGGGTGTTTTATATTTTCTTACAGAATAATTTTCTACTCTTTCAGAAACTTTTTTCCTAGGTAACGAAACGAGAGAGCGTTCAACTACATATACCATGATCTGCAACTGCAAAACGAGGTGACAATAGCTAAAAGATTGTCAAAAGGTTGAAGGAAATCTACGTTGAAGGTAATCTGGCGGCGCTTTTAACGGAAATTTCCTCACTCCAGTGTCCGCTCATGAGTACATGTTTGATTATTCTCCTTTCCTACCTTCGTTATAACTCAAATTGTTTTCAAAAAATCTTTGAAACCAATTTTTTTATTTAGGGAGGAAGTTGAGAATAACTAAAAGCTGCTAAATTGGGCAGTAAAATAAAGCAATGATCAATTTGAATGATGTAAACTCACCTGTGTACCCCTTTATAGGGTGCTGACATATCCACAGCGGCTGCCATTTTGTCCTCTCCTCTGTCTCTGTCTCTGTCTCTGCTGCTTGTACTCTGGCTACGCTGTCTGCCCTCTTTTATGTTGTTTCTGTTGTTGCCAGAGGGACTTCTGGATTTGGATGCACTCTTATTTTTGGCTTCCTTGTCCAAATTGATCACCTGAAAAATGTTCGATATGGTTTTGCTTAGTTTATTTCTAAAACAATTCCGATCTGTTTACGGCTCTTTTCCGGTCCTGCTTTGATTTTTTCGAAAGCCTAACTAAAATGACATCTGACATTCTGAACTGTAATAAAAATCTAAACTGTCAGCGTGAACTATTGAACAATATTTTACAAAATTTCTTACTGCTAATTTCCGCTTGAATAACTTTTGAAAAGAGCTTTATTTCGTAATCTTTCGAGAGGGGTGAGAAACTGGAAAAGAGCCCTGTTTTAAAATTTCCCCATGCTTTTATGTGGTATCTGTTCTTGTTTTTTTCCAGTCTCCCCTTATTACCCATTCTGTGATTGTTTATTATGGAGGCTATAATTAGCAAAAGGAGGAGAGAAGGACCGCCCGGGTTGACCATTTTACAAAAAAAATCCCTATCTCAGAACTTCTTATAAGATTTGTAGGAATTTTTGCAATCTTACAACTTTCTTATAAGAAAAATTTCCTATCTTGCAACACTTTTAAAGCCTAATTTATTAAGAAGTTATAGATTGTTATAAGAAAAGTTCTAAGGTAATGACTTATGGTTAACTTAATTCTTAAATCAAAGGGTGTCACTGTAACCAAGGTTTCCTGTCATAACAAATGCGGTGTGAGCAAACTTTACGCAATTTTGTTGCAGTTCAAAAAGAGAGTGACAAATGGAAAAGGGTTGGGATCTCTACCCCTCCCCTTAGGGACGAACAAAACTTGATCAAATTACATCTTAACGAATTTATATGCAGAACAAAAGCGATGTCACTGTGAAAAACTTTCAGCAAACATTCCATTCAGCAACTTGTCTTAAATGAAAACTTTAAATGTTTTTCCTAAATATTTTAGAAAATTGAAAAATATGATTTTTGAAAAAAAGTCGTTATTATTTTTTGTTTAAAAAATATATTTTTGAAAGGGATGTTATTTGATTGCGATCCAAACAAAGGTTGAAATTTTCATACCTGGTTTTGAACAACTGATTTTGTGTTTGATTGTTTTGACAAATGCAGTTATTTCTTAATTCTGCTAAATGGTGGAAGATTAAAGCACCTTTTGCTACTTGATTTAAACAGCAGCGGTTACTGAATGAATTAAATAATCTTTTTTATATGCGTCGTTTTCTACATGCAGCTGTATGCGTGAGGTGTACACGTGCTCAGATTCGATGGAGGGGGCTGAACTGTGATCAGAATTATACCTGCAGTTTTTCGTTGTTTTCATCCGCTATGACGATCGAATTGCGGCTGGCGCGTCTTGCTTGAGTCGAATACATCTTTAGCTCCAACAAACAAAAACATCAAGATTTATCTATATATCTTTTATACTGATTTTATGCATATCATTTGAAAAATATGTATATTTGACTGGTAAATTTGAGTAACGTTGATTATGGTTGTATCGTTGGTACATTTGGTTCAATATAGCTGACTGAATACTAAGTGATATGTATTAAAATATGTGCGGGAAAAAAAACAAAAACACGATATTTTCTCGAATAATTCTGCACGTGTTTTTTGAACAATCTCATGGTATATCAATCTTGCTCTGCACATATTTCATCATCTGAATTGAATAGACAGTTTCTGTTTGTAGTTCATCAAAGATTTGAATATTGAAAAGTTTTTTTTCTGAGAAACGGTGATTTGTGCAGCTATTCGTGATTCCCAAATTATTTAGTAATAAAATCCAAATTATCATTCCAAATTTCTTGTGGCAAAATGGGCGATGAAGGCAATCAGCAAGGTAACTAAGTACATCATGCTCGCATTTCGGCAAATTTTACAATTAAAAACTATGTGGGCTCTTTTCCAGTCCCCACACCCCTTTGATTTTTTTTCTGAAAATCAAAAGATGAAAATCAAGTTAAATTGACTTTTTTCAATATGATTTGCATTAAGACGTGTCAGCGTGAACAAGTTAACAAATTTATACAACATTTCTTACATGCAAAATGCCGTGTGAACAATTTTTAAACAGCTAAATTTTGTAATTTTCCGAGGGGAGGGAAAACTGGAATGAGCCGCTATGTGTTTCAGAACATATTAGATACAACAGATAGTAAAATTAGTTTTAACGTGGCAAATTGAATGCAAAAGAAGAAGTGTAAAATTGTTTGACCACAAGAAAGTTGAAAAAATCTAAAGTTATTGTTTTTAAAATGTTTTTGAGGAGAGAGGAATAAGGCCAGGGGCGAATCTAGGTTTTTCTCGGGGAGCGGTTTTTCAAAAAAAATATTCGAAATTTTTGTTGCCTTTTTTTAGGTCGACCAAACTGATTTTCCAACCGCTCTCAGAACACTATAAAGAAAATAATAAGACAAAAAAAACTGCGCCGCAGTCAAACATTAAAAAAAAACAGGTCAAAAATGAAAAATGTGGAAAACTTGTTGGAAAACTTTGACTAAAAATTGGGGTTTTCTTAGGCACGCGCTCACCTTCAAAATTATTATATTTTGGCGCCAAGGACGCCTTTAGAAAAATTGGTCGGCAAGAAATGGAAGTCATAAAACAATATCAAAGAGGGACCCTTTGTTTGGTGAGGTGGTCGAATTCCTGAGGTGTAGGCGCTGATGGGGCGCTGATTAGAACTTTTTGAACTAGTTAATTCAAGTTGTTTAACCTTTAAAACATAGGTAGGACTAAACAGTATAGAAGTTCACAACAAAAGGGACTGAATCTGCATCACTTGACCCCATACGATATAAAGGCTCTTTTCCAGTTTTACGCTCCCCTCGTGAAGTTACAAAATAAAGCTGTTCAAAAAGTGTTCAAGCGGCAGTTCAAATTTAATATTTATTGTATTAGTTTCTTCATCTGTTCACGCTGACCCATTTAATGCAGTTTATAACATGACAGTTAACTTTAAGTAATTTTCATATGATGAATTTTGGAAAAAAATCAAGGGGGATTTGAAAAGAGCCGATATACATAATATACATTACTTGACCCAATACGACTTAGAAAATATACATCACTTGACCCAATACGAAATTTCTTCCAGCTGGAAACATTTGCTACAAAAATCACCATGCATTATAGTTTGACAAAACGAGGCCAAACTGTGCACTGGATAGGCGCAAATTGTTGTGTTTGTAAGTTCCTGGATTCCAGAGACAAATCTTTAACAGGTTCCACATTGTAAGTGGATTCCATTTACAAAATTTCAGTGGACTCCGCGAACAAATACCTGTAACGTAAATTTTGTCGGCACGTTGATTTTGTTACGGATTCAGTAAAGATTGAATATAGGTAGTTGTTCCGTATTCTTTAAATGTGAGAGGATTCTGCAAATGAAAGTGAATTCCGCAAATTTATGCGGATTCCGCTCACAATTTGCAGAATTCGCTTATAGTTTGCTGATTCCGCTTACATTTTGCGGATTCCACTTACAGTTGCGGTTCCGCGACAGCTTAGGTATCCTTAACACATATATTATTATTTGTTTATGGTATCCACAAAGTGGTTTCGAATTTTGTTGCGGATTCCGCAAATTTGCCTGTTTTTGGAGCAATTTTGAGCAACACAGTATTGTAGCTATTTGTCTGTGGAATCCAAAACAGCAGAGAAGATCAAAGAAAAATAGCAACGTTGCGGATTCTGCGACAAATTAGATTTTTGCCTGTTGCGAAATCTGCTTAAAATTCACAAAATGCAATGTTTGGCCTCGTAATGGAAGTTTTTGCACTTCCCCCACCCTTGAATTTCAAATTTTAAAATTAGTTTTAAATTGCATGGTTTTAGGGAAAATTACATTCCAGGTAATTAAGACTTAGTTAACATATTTTGGTTAAGTCAAGATTGTTTTCAAACTGAAGCTGGCTGTTATAGTTTTTTTTGGTAAAGATCTACTAGTACTCTGAAAAAGTTCACAAGAAAGGTTTTAAAAAAATTTTTTATAAAGTGCTCGACAGAGACACCACATGAAATTTCTTGCAACCTTGTGACGTCTTTCATGCTGGTGCCAGTCGAAAAATATACAGATTTATATTCAGACAAATTTATCAACCAGCCTGAAAATTTCAACCAGCCAAGATTTATATTCAGACAATCAGCCTGAAAATGAGTTTATTAAGAATACTGACTATTATCATAATGCTATGAAACTTGGAATGTTGAACAAATCAATAATTTTCAAAAATTTTTGCTCTCCATACCTTTTATTGTAATTTAACACGCTTAGCCAAAACTACTCGTAATAAAAAAACAAGAAAAATTAAACGGTGTTGGAAATTGGATCCTTTTCACTTCGTGAAGTGGTCGGCATGAATATAGTAGAATCTCTTCACTGATTTAACTCTTTTACACTCCCCGCACCATAATTGAATTTCAGTTTTGAAATACTAGTTTTGTGTTTCATAATGCATGGTGATCTAACTAACTATTGTGGACAAAATTGTTCCTCATACTTTTAATCGTAAATCACGCAATCAGTCATAATAACACTTAATATAATAAAAAACTGAAAATTTTGAAATGTGGGGGAAGTGCAAAGAGCTCTAATTTCAACATTTTCCTTCGCTGGACAAGTCCAGGTTAAGTTTTTATCAAAATATCGGGTCGCGTTACAAAAGTAAAAATGATTCGGATTTATGTTTGTCTTGACCTAATTCGTCTGCACGAGAATTTCAATAACAATCCGACAAGTGAAGAAAATCGGACACCCTGTTGCAGGCTGGTGGAGAGGAGGAAAAACGGGTCCGCAGAGCTGTTTGTTCGAATGAGAAAGATATTTTTTGTTTTCCAGCTGATTGGTGGATCTCATTTAAAAGTTTATGGTTTATAAATTCGAGTGACATCCTACGTTGATTAAATTTTCTTTTCAGAGTCTATTTGTGTTCTTTGTTTATTTTCAACGTAAAGCAGTGCTTCAAGCAAAAAGTTGATTCTGTCTTGAGAATGTTGGTTCAATTCAAATGACGACCGAGACGACCGAGACGACACCATTTTTTGAAAAATGCCTCTTTTTTATATTTTTGCAAAAGTTCGGCGGATATTATTCCGACCTTTGAAAATGAGGAGGAACCTTGTCTTATCGTGTGTTTAGTTTTTTTGTTTTCCACGCAAAATCTGGTACCACAAATAATCATCGGAAGGCGTCGACTTTCTTATCATATAAAAGATATTCCATTTGTCATTCGACCGGCTGTTCGAGAAAAAGAGGTTCTAAGTTTTTGATTTTTTGTCAAATTTTGAGCGAAATGTGCGAGTCAGCAGGCTTACTTGCTTTTTCAACCAAAATCAGTTACCAAACATCATTTTCGGAAGGAAAACCCCGGTTTCAAATTTTTGAGCTTAATCCAAAGCAAGATAAGCAAGCGAGTAAGTCTTCTGAAAAAATTTATCATCTAAGAAGTGTAAAACTTAGTTTTATTGCCATAAAACGAATTTTGGATGCTTCACTTAGTGCTTCTTTGACAAAAAAAATCTTTCTTCCTTGGCAAGCAAAAAAAAATTGAATTTTTAAAAATTCTGTATGTATTTTTATAGCAAATGTGATGAGTAAATTTTTACTTGTTTAATGAGTTTTCACGCACGAAATGCACTTTTTTCGAACATTATGTGCGGTTTGCTTAGAAACCAGCTATATTTGTTTTTTTAAACAATTTTTGAAAAGCTGAGAACTTAAATGGATTGTTTGGACGCGCGCTGCTTTGCCGGAATGCGGTTGTCGGAATACGATATAATGTCGTCCAAGTCACTGCTTAAAACACTTAACATTAATTCAGCAAAAATATCTGTAGTAAAACAGCTCTTTTTGATAAAAGTTTGACATGAAAGCTTGGTCTCCCTTAACACACTATTGATCAAGCGTTTGTTATTCAATTTTTTGTACAGATAAGACAAAACACGTCTGGCTGACTTCTTCGAAAATGTCTCGGGACACAAACGTCCAAATGTTTCGTGTTCAGGTGCTAATTTAAAAAATCTAATATTGTTAGACATGAAATTTTGTCAAGGTGAAAAATTTTGTCACAGTAAACTATCTAACGAATTATATTATTGAAACAATCATATCTGAGCGATAAATTGTAACATTTATTTAAGACTGTGAAATAGGAGAACAGCTGTTTATTTTTTGATTGGCAGGGGGAGCTCAAGACAACAGACGTCTCCACTCTTACCCTCTCATTAGGCACTCAGACATGAACGAAGAGATGAGAACTGAGGCGATGGAGCTGTGTGTGACTGCCTGTGAGAAGTTCGCCTCAAACAACGAGGCCGCCGCCAAACTCATCAAGGAGTCCATGGACAAGAAGTTCGGGGCATCTTGGCACGCCGTAGTGGGCGAGGGGTTCGGGTTCGAAATCAAACACGAAGTGAGGAATCTGCTCTACATGTTTTTCGGAGGCACTATAGCTATTGTGGTGTGGAAGTGTTCTTGAGACTGACTAATTCTTATCCTTTTACTATATCATCGAATTAATTTTCAAATTTTGTAGTGCTAGAGATTTGAGAAAAAAAAACAGAACTAAGGCGAGAGCATTTCTATCAATTAATATGGTTTGCAAGTATTAGCATTTATATGGTTTGAACAGCGTGTGCGGTAATTCTCATTTGGGTCGGTTAGGATGTGTCTTTTACATGCGTGTCGAGTATCGTTTTGGAATACCTCTTTCAGACATGGGATTAATCAAATTATTTTTTGGGTCTGAGAAATTTTTTTGCCAAACTCATTTAGTTTAGGAACATTGCAAGGCATAAAACAAAACTTTCAATTTACAGCCTAATCATCTTACGATCTAAATCTTTTGTCGTATTAAATGACCCTGTTTGACCTCGTTTGACCTCGTTTGACTTGACCCTTTATTAAAAATTGTACACAACTTTAGATTTCATTGCGTACGATCTATGATTCGGCACTGTTTGATTCGTTTTGTCAATCACGCTCGACTAAATGCTTCAATTCGAAAATTCGAAAATTTCAAAATATTAGATGTGATAATAGACCGGCGGTCGAAAAATTAGTCGCAGCGGTCAAAAAAATAATCGAGGTGGTCGAAAAAATTAATCGCGGTGGTCGAAAAATTAGTCGCAGCGGTCAAAAAGGTAGTCGCGGCGTCGAAAAATTAGTCGCAGCGGTCAAAACTTTAATCGCGAAATTGTCAAAAAGTTAGTCGCGGCGGTCAAAAAATTAATCGAGGTGGTCGAAAAAATTAATCGCGGTGGTCGAAAAAATAGTCGGGGTGGTCAAAAAATTTATCGCGGCGGTCAAAAATTTAGTCGCGGCGGTCGAAAAATTAGTCGCAGTGGTCAAAAAGGTAGTCGCGGCGTCGAAAAATTAGTCGCAGCGGTCAAAACTTTAATCGCGGAATTGTCAAAAAATTAGTCGCGGTATGGTCGGAAAATTAGTCGCGGTGGTCAAAAAATTAGTCGCGGTGGTCAAATTAGTAGTCGCGGCGGTCGAAAAATTAGTCACGGAGGTCAAAAAATTAGTCCCAGCGGTCGAAAAATTAGTCGCAGCGGTCAAAGCATCAATCGCGGAATTGTCAAAAAATTAGTCGTGGCGGTCGGAAAATTAGTCGCGGTGTTCGAAAAATTAGTCGCGGCATGATCGAAAAATTAGTCGCGGCCAGGGGCGGATTTAGAGGGGGGGCGGGGGGGGGCGGACGTCCCTCGCCTCAGGGATTCGACCCCCTGCCGACCCAAAGGGTCTCCCCTTTGATACTTTTTGAGAAATCCATTTTTGGCCGAACGACCCTAAAATTTTTCTAAAGGCGCCTTTGGCGCCAATATAGACTAACTTTGAGGGGGAGCGCGCGCCAAAAAAAAAAACGCGATTGTTTTGTCAAAATTTTTCAAAAAGTGCCCAAAAACGGCTTTTTTGACTGTTTTTTCAAAAATTTGCCTGCGGAACTGAAAATTTTGCCAAAATAGGGGCAAAGCAGTGCTTTGGGAGAGCTCGAAAAATCAATTTGGTTGACCTAAAAAAAAAAGGTCGTCAAAATTTTGGAAAATTTTTTGAAAATCCGCCCCCCCCCCCCTCGAGAAAATCCTAGATCCGCCCCTGGTCGCGGCGGTCAAAAAGTTAGCAGCGCCGTCGAAAAACTAGTCGTGACATAGTCAAAAAATTGGGCGTGGCTTAGTCGAAAAGTTAATTAGGGCGTTGTCGAAAAATTAGTCAGGGCGTTGTCGAAAAATATAAAATGTCAATTAAATGTGATTAGAAAAATGGTTTGAACGATTACTTCGATGCCACACTTCGATTATTTTTCAACCAATCATTTTTGAGTGTTGTCAAGAATTTTATCTTCTTGCTGAAGAGTATTGAAAAGGACCAGTAAAAATTTTGGTCCACATTTTTTCAAGTCGACCGATTTGATAGTCCGAAATCCCTAGAACCCCTAAAACTCTATAAAGACCCTATTTTGCCGGAAAAAAAATTCTTCGCCGCAGGCAAGTTGTGAAAAAAAACTGGCCAAAATGAATTTCATAGAATAATATCAACAGAAGGCAATTTCGATAAATTGTTAGCCAGAATTGAGGAAAAGAATGGTCTCTCCTCGTCCAACTGTCTTTCCAATTTTGAACTCAATGTAATCTTTCAGAAAGTAGAAAAAAATCTATAGCCGTTATTTCGTGAAACTAACAATCGAGCAATCACACAGCGGAAATAGTTGGTCATTTTTGCTAAAAGTCGGAGCAAAAACTGGATGCTGAAGGTTGCAGATGATACATCGGTCTGGGATATGATCAATTCAGAATAGGACGTTGAAGTTTTGGATCAAGTTAACATCCTCATCCCCAGGATTGAATTCAGATTAAAATTGCTAAGCGCTTCATGTAAATCGCTCAAATGGTTGAAAACTCCAACTTGGAGCCAAATTAACATCCTCCCCCTAAATTTCTTTAGGGGTATCTTAACTTGGTCAAAAATTTTACACTGAAATCTCAAAATGATATATGATATGCTGATGAAGTCTCAAGAGCTAATTTTGAAACCGAAATTTCAACCACACAATAAAATAAATATACATTGCTTCTGAAAGATGAAGTTCGAGTATACCGAATGGTTTCTAGGAACCACTCGGGAATCGGTGAGTGAGCTTTCGTCCAAAATTTTTCTTTGTTGGTTATGTTCATTGAGGGTCCGCGCTGAAAACTAGGTCATGAGGAAGTGGCCTTTGACCGATCCAGCACACGTGAAGGCAGCGAGTATGGCTGTGAGTAGCTTGGGGTACTGCAGGGTGGCGGGAAGATTAGCGAAGGAGGCTAATTTGAGTATATTGCAGTCGTCCTCGTCTTTGCAGCACTGTTGACAGATGGTCTCTTCATTATCTGTTCCCTAAACCAACCACAGGCCGAATAAGGAAACATTTTTATTAGTAAATTTTAAATTATTCAAGTAAAAAGGTCTTTAGCGTGAGCTTAAAATGTGGTATATAATCGTCAAAAAAATTTTATTTGCTTCCTTTTGCCGAAAAAAATGTTACACTCGCAAAAATTTATCTAATAAAACTATTTTTGCATTCGTTTTCTGCAGTTTTATTTCAAAATAAGATGGATACGTGTCTTCTACTTTGAGATTGTAATTCGGATGCATCATTGACAAAATTGGCGTATTTTTCTTTGAATTGATTGAAATTCAAGTGGTTAAGCGACAACTCGTGATAAAGTTAAACGGCATGGGATGGAGATCGGCATGGTAGTTTGATGCTTTAAATCTAATGGTTGAATTTTTTTATTTTTGAGTTTTTGTTTCCTACTATTTAAAATCTCGTTTTAATGTACACAATTGGTGTCCCGGTTCTGGCAAGCACGCAGCACGTATCATCCCGACTTCAGAACTTCAGTTAAAATCTAGTAATTTCTGCTTTCATCGAGCTGTCGCTTTTTCAAAAAAGTGCGAATTGTCGCTTTCGGCCAGTTGTCACCTCACGCTACTGTTCGTGTCTTAGGAGCTGCGGCATTAAGGAATGAAAGGTAACCTTCTGGTTTGTGTAGCAGTAGGTGTTGTTGTAGTATGAGTCGGAGCAGTAGTATCCACAGCCTCTCTCGAAGTAGTAGCTGCCATTGAGCCACTCCTGTTCCCGCACCCAGCAGCCGAAGTAGCCAGAGTGCTTGTCACACAGTTTAGTCGTGATGCCTCGGATCCCATTTATGTCCACCTCCTCCACACACGCATTCAGCCCATCGTCCGAACTACACGTCACGCAGGACCTGCAAATGCACAAAATCCTAGCTGAGAAAAATATTCATTGCTGAGTGGAAAAAGGCAAGAAAATGGTTCCGAATTTCTCCTAGTTGAGGTTTTGCTTCCTGTTTCAAGTGGGCAAAAAAATACCGTTAAGACACCAATTGAAGTTATTTCTTGGGAGAGTTTTATTTAAAAACAGCTGATGGATAGGCTTGTGCTGTGTAGCCACTTAAAAGTTTTTTTAATGATGTTCCAATAATTTTAGGAATGTGTTCTCATTAGAAACCATTCTTAAAAGTTTTGATGCAACATTAAAAATCTTTGAACATATCCAGGCAGATATGTTCAATAATTTTTCGTGTTCCTGATGATAAAAGAAGTAAAAAGGGCTCCAAACTTCATATGAGAAGATAGAGAAGAGCCAATTAGTTTTATTAATTTATTCGGGTATTGAACGTTACCTCAGAATGGGCTCTGTGCATGATCCATCGTGCAGAGGTAGAGTATCATTCACACAATGACAGTCCGTTTCCTCCAAGTACTTGACAAAATCCACTCCCCCTTCCTGCACTTGCATCTGCTCCCCGTCTTCCTGAACTCCACAAGAGCAGTTCCCGTTGCCCTTGTGACAGTCCACCTCGACACAGGTGTACAACTTGGTATCTCTGTCATAGTGCAACGAGTGTCCTAGATCGCACTTACACACAGGTCCTACGCAGTCTCGCTTGCAATTCATAACTCCGTCGCCCTCAGCTCTTCCTTCCTTGTAGCAAATCTGCTGACACCCCCCAAAGCCGTCGGCAGCATAGCCCATCTCACACTCGCAATCTTTTTCCATCTTTATTTTTGTCTGGCCATAGTAAGAAGGACATACACAGTTCTGCTTGATTGAGTTACACTCCACCTGTATGCAGGTGTGGTCCACTGCGAAACCCTCAGTTGTCACAAACAGATTGGGCGCGTAGCCGAACGAGCATTGGAAATGGTTGAAGTCGGCGTATTTCTGACATTCGGGGAAGTAGCTGTTACATTCTTGGTCACAGCCGCCGGTTCCATTGGGGAAAAATCCAGCCGTGCAATAGTAGTAAGCCCGGTTGAAGTCCGGGTTAATCTGAGAGGTGCATATTTGCTCCGCAAACTGGTACCCATTTCCATCTGGATATTGAGCAGCCACTGTTGCTGGATCGCAAGTGAGTTGATAACATTTTCCATTTAGGACAGTGAATCCGTTTTCATACTCACACTCACAGGGGTAAACGGCGCAACTAGAATCACACCCGAACGAACCAGGTTGGCAGTAGCTCACATTTTGTGTGTAGTGACAAACCGGAGGATACTCTGCTTTCCACGCCTCTGTAGAGTCTTCGGGGTCTGTGTCGCGTGAAAGATCCCTGATAGGCATGTACCACTGGTTGCAAGAGGATGTCTCAACCCGCAAAGATCCATCGTCATTAGCCTCTGCAGTGCAGTAAGGGTCAGTGAATGGGTCGCAAACTTGTTCCTTGCAGAACCTTTCTTCCTTCATGAAAGCAGAGATGTATCCAGGCAGACAATAGCAAGTCAGTGGAAACTCAGAGTCCTCTGCAATTATTAGACCAATAACTGAAGTGAATGACCCGAAGGCATCCTGGTCGCAGTCACAGTGATAGGTCTCGGGTTCGAAACCTGCGTTGCAGTCATAAGGCACGCACTGTTGGTTCCAGTTGGGAGTGTACCCGTCCGCGCATTTAGTGATCTCAGCTTCATCCGTTATACAGTACGCATCCCATGCATCATCGCAAATGGGCACGCAACCCACCTTGTTTCCACTTATTTGGGAATTGTAGCCATTGGTATGCTCGGATATAAGACGACCGTCTGAATCCACATTAATGACTCTCCCGTTCTTGTCAGTGTCCAGAAGAGCAGCCTGGAACCCCTCGGCACACTTGCAGTTCTGGTTGTTACTTTCAGTGCACGGCTGTGTGTCCTCACTAACACAGTTGGGCATGTCCACGTCACACAAAGTGCGACATTGTCCTGGCTTGTCAAAGTCGGACACGTAGTTGACAAAGCAGCGACAATTGTGTTCTTGGGTGTTTCCTTCACTGTTCTTTGGACAAGTGCAGTAGGAAACGTCCGTGTTTAGTATCTTGTCGTTGCATTGAACCGGGATGCATGTCATATCCCAGTTGGCAGTAAACCCATCCTCACAGAACCTGAACACTGATCCAGTGTCACAAAACGGAGTACCTTTGATGCACTCATCCTTAACGCAGTCAGTCACATTATCCCCAAATGAGTTCAACACCTCCCCCTCTTCACAACTGGCTCCAGGGATGCACTTGCGCTTCATAGCACCACCCTCCTCAATCAGAAAAGATTTTTTGGTCATTGATCCAGGGGTAGTCTGGCATTCACACGTAGTAGGGTCAGTGGGTCCGTTTGGGCAGAAGCACGAAGAGCCCTCACCTTGTTCGCACTGGAATCCCTTGCAGAATCCCGGGTGGGTGGTCTTGTTTCCGACGAACCCGTCCACGCATTCGCAATCTACCTCGGTGGAGTTCATCCCGTGAGGGGGACAAAGACATAGCTCGTTGTCGTTCAGAAGGTACTTCTTGTGACAGTTCACAGGCACACAGATAACCTAAACTTACATAGTTTTGTTATGGTATTTCGTTTGTTTTAGCCAAAAACGCGTTTTAACCTAACATCATTATTCAAAAGAAGTATCCTCAAATTATCAAACAGCACAAACACCAGTGGAAAAGAAGCTATGATTTTTTGTTTCGACCATTGAAAATAGGGAGAAACTTTGTAATTGGGTGTGTTATAGTTTTTTCTTTTTTTTTTCTTTTTCACGCAAAATCAGGTACCGCAAATAATCATCGGAATGGGTTACATCATAGTAAAGTCCTTTTAGTTGTTATTCGAACGACCTAAAATTTTTACAAAAAAAAATCCTCCTCTGGAGAAAAATCGGTTTGAATCTTCGGATTTTTCGTTTAATTTCAAGCTAGTAAAACGGGCGAGCAGGCTTGTAATAGGCCTATAATTATTAGTTTTAAAATTTTAAGACAAACTATTACTTAGTTTTGTTCAAGTGAAACTCGTTATCGAGAATTTTGTGATCGCCTTCTTTTGAAAAAAAAGTGTGAGACCGAATAAAAAAATCTGTAAAAATTTGAAAATTTTTTTGAATTTTTTTGATTTTTTGAAGTTTGATATTTTCTAGATGAAATTTTTTGTCAAATGTCCCTTATTTTGTTTTGCTACCAAAGCTATAGGCTTTAGTTTAGATTCTCCCATCACACTAAGACAAAATACGACGCAATTTGAAAAAAAAAGTTGTGTTTTTTTTAAATATGGTCGGAGCATTCTGTTTTGTGCTACTTGCACAGCAAGCGGCTATCCTTGTTTTATTATAAAACCAGCGGTTGCTATCTGCGGATAAAGCGGCTTGTTTGCACATTGAGATAATTTTTGACTTAATTATAGCTAGAAGCAGAAATTTTTAGAACAGCATTTGAAAAGATTGCACGCTAAGGACATTTTGTCATTTGAGGCCAGAACCAAGATATTACAGATGCCCGCAAAGAAGTTCCATGGATAATAATCGTTTATGGCCAATTTTCGTGTTGATAAATCGGAAGTTTCACACTTTCGCATCCTAACCTCCCGACAAGATAAAGACCTCTATGTAAAAACCAATAAATGAGACTAAGATATGCCATTGGGTGCTTTGAGGGGGACTAGGATGAGATGGAGCCTAAACGGAAGAAATTCTTTTTTCTAAATGACCGACAAGTTCGATAGACATTACTAAAATGAACTGAAGAAAAACTAGATTCAATTAAGCCAGTCCAAAAACACCTTCACATAACCATAACAACAAACAATGCCCTTCCATAACACCGTTCATAAGCAAAAATACCTCGTTTTGGCTGAGAGTAGCAGTGTATCCGAAAGCACATGTGCAAGTTTCCTCTCCCTCTGGACATACTATGTGGGATGTGGGGTCAGTCCAGCAATGCAGATGTCCATGCTTGCAGTTCCTGGTGCAGAACTTCATCTTCCCAATTGAGGGAGTGTAGTCTGGGTCGAGGACATAGCCCCAGTCACAGAAACAGCTGGAAGCGTTGCTCAGGTCAGCACACAGACAGCTGGCATCATCTGGGTCACAGTTGAAAAGAACATCTTGGCCATTGACCATAGCACTGTTGAGCCTAACGCAAAACAGTGAACAAGTTACTCAGTTACTACGAATCATCGTAAGGTAGATCCTCCGATGGTGATGTTGTCAGTTGCTTCGTGGGAAAAGATATTTTTCTTAAAATCTGTTTAAAGAGAACAGCTATTGAGGCTCTGATTGAAATGTTATACGTGGAGGGCGTGGTATTTCGAGAATCCAGCCAGTAGACTCTACAGATGCATGTTGCAATAGCATATTTACCAAAAAGCAATATTTTCCAATATCATTCAAAAATCATAATGAAAAGATGTTTTTTGACAAATCTTTCATAAAAAATTGCGTTTATTTTGATGTTCAACAAAATAAAATGGACACAAATTGCCATAGTTTCGCTTACCATAAACACAAAATCGCGAAAATTGTCGTAAGACATATCTCAAATGGTCGAATACACACCATGTTGGAAAATTTTGCTCAAAATGATGTACTAAATTATTCAAACACTGGAAAATTTCCTCTGTTATAAACAGGTGAAAAGGACCAGCTGATCTGAATAAATGATAAACCCAAAACTCAAACGATGAGAGGGAATCCGTGTTATAAATTTTCCAGCAATTTGGAATATAAATATACACCTGATGTCCAAAGGCTAAGCGGTTCAAAGTTGTGTTTCCATTTTTGATAAAAACGCGCTCTTTTTTCATAACATGAAATGTGGCAAATATATTTGGATAAAATTACATCCAAAAAATGATTGTCCTTCTCGTTCCAAAAAATGAGTATTTTATTGAAAAAATGAGTAAATGTAACGTTTAGTCAGTCAGCTATATAATTATTATTCCGACTTTGGCAGAAAGTGACGGAATATTTGTGCTCGAGGTGGTTTTTTTCTTCAGAAACAATTTCGATTTTTTAACTAATCCTTTTTACGGCATTATTTATATAATCTAAAATATATTGTCCTGAGCTCAATTTTTAAAGGATATTCCACTTTTAAATCATTTTTTGTAAAGTTATGGGGTTTTAAAGATAGCCATTTTTGGGCAATTTGGGACATTGATTTTTGGAGGAGATTTTTATTAACGCGTAAGCGGAGATTTAGGTGCAATAATACTACTAGGAGCAAAATTTATCATTTTATTCTTTCTATGGTTTGATTTGAAAAAAAACTCTCAGCTTGAAAAAATTCACTTTTTTGAAAAATTCTTCAATTGTTTTAAAACGAACACCACTTAATAAGAACAAATAAAGCAGTCAGAGCTTTCAGGGCTTCACGCTGATACGAGTAGTCTTGTTTCGTTTTGATACAAATTTTGCAACACAAACTAGATAAACTTCAATCATTCTGATTACTGAGCAACCTTTAAGTTCATCCATTTTGTCCAAAGTTATATCAAAATGGACGATGAGCGTTTAAAGGTTCAAATTTTGTGGTTTTTCTGGATACCCCGGTCAAGTTGCTCGAATTATGTTGCCACTATCTTGACCAAAAATTAGCATGTTTCGACTGTTATGGCCAAATATTGGTATGCTTCGACTTTCTGGACAAAATTTTGGTATGTTTTGACTTGCTCGACCAAATTTTGATATGTTTCGACTTTCTCAATTCAACAAAAAAAGTATTGACTTTATTCCACCCAGCTCATATATGTTTCGATTTTCTCGAAAAAAGTTCAATATATTTCGATTTTCTTGACCAATTCGATTGACATTCAAAAACATATGTTTTGTTTGACCCCGCATATATATGTTTCGACTTTCTTGACTGAAAATGAACATATATCTTGACTTTTTCGAACAACAAAAAAACTTTCAAAATTTTCTTCGAAAGCCAGAACAGCAAGATTGTTTGTATCAGGAGGACACCCTGAGTGTATCAAGAAGAAACCCTTTCCCAGGAAACCCATCACGGGAAGACCCTTTAAAGACTCCCTAGAAATTGTCGCTTCGAAGAAGTTATGAATAATATGGAGAAAAAAAGACAAATAGAGAAACAATCATCGACTTGTTGAAAACATCCCGCTACAGGCAATACGAAAATCCGGAAATATAATTAGATTGTGTGATAACAATAGCCTCAAAAAAATTTGGAATGACTTTGAGCTGCATAATTTGCCGCTAAACAGCAATGCGTCAAAAACATTTTTGACGCATTTTTATATCATCTGAAAGGTATTGTTGTCATATTTAAAAGGGTTGTGCATCAGCGATTTCTTTGCCATAGGTGCTATGTTACTAGGAGCAAAATTTATCATTTTTCTTTTTTATATGGTGAGACCTTAAAATACAGTCGGAACATTCAGGGCTTTGCCCTGATACGAGCAGTTTTGTTAAAATTTGTTCTGATAATCAAAACTTAGGCCTTACAGTAAACTAAAAACGCTATTCATACAGTTCCATAAAATTATTTTAAGGAAAAAAGGAGTCACACAAACTTCATAGTTTTGATGAAGTCGCTGTTGATGAAATTTTGAAGACGTCAGAGACAATTTTGAATCGCTGCTAATGAAATTTTGTATCGTCAGAGACAAATTTTTGCTAGAAGAACCTTGAGTAAATTTTCTAAAAATGGAATGAGTTTTATCAGCAATTTTTTGATGGCGACGAATTGAAAAATTTGATAAATTGAGTAAAACTGAATACATGCCTAATTTCTTTTCCTTATGAAGTTTTTATTTTTTCGTTACTTTTCAGAGTAAAATTGAAAACATATCCAGTTTTTTTTCCTTATGAAGGCCAAACGAATTCTTTGTGTTCAAAACAAACCTTTCCACGAGAAAAAAAGAAAACCTACTTTTTTATGAAGACAACTTCACCTTGAGTACATGGCAGTCGCAGCATTTCTTCTCAATTTCTAGATATTATTTCATAAAAAACTTAATATTTTTTTTTGACATTTGCTCAAGGATATTGCATAATTAATACAAAATTTAAAATTTAAAAAAGCTACATCACAAAAAAATTTTTGGGCAGTTTACATGCATAAAAACATGCAAGATCGTAAAAAATCTCGATGGCGCAAGGTATTGAGTAACCAGTGTCTCTGCTTCTAAAAAGATTGTAAGTAAAAACAGAAAAATTGGCAAAAATCATTGTTGGTATATGAAAAAAAAGCTAAGCATGTGCTCTCCCTGTGTGAAAAAATACTAATCATACTAATCAAACTTTCATGCTATTTTATGTATTTCGCTACTTATTTTTCGATCTTTACTTCTTTTTGTGCTTGGCTGGTTTTTTCGGTTGCGCTCCACCTATATTTCGACTGTGCTCGACGTATGTTTCGACTTACTCGACCGAAATTGGTTATGTTTCAACTGAGCTCAACTTATGTTCCGACCGTGCTCGACCTATGTTTTTGGCTGTGCTCGACCTATATTCCGACTTATTTGACCGAAAACGGGGTATGTTTCGAATGAGCTCAACTTATGTTTCGACCGTGCTCAACCCATGTTTTGACTGTTTCTCGACCTATGTTTTTGACTTACTTGACCGAAATCGGGTGTGTTTCGACTTTGCTTCGACTTATGTTTGGACTTTCTTGACTGGAAATCAGGTATATTTCGCTTTGTGCTCAACTTAAAAATTGCTTCTCGACCGCAAAATTTTCAGTAGCAAAGCTGCACGTGCTCGAATTTTAAAATAAAAAACATAAATCGAGCATCTCAAAACGGCAAAAATAAAACGAAATTTATCTTACACAGCGACAAAATCTAGAAGTGGAATGTTACTATGTAAACTTATATTGAATTTGAATTCAGTTTTTGTTGACAATGTGCACAATATTTGTTACTTTTCTTAATGTGCAAAAATATTTTGAAAAAAACATATAACTACTATTGCTGGCAATGCATACAGCAGTTTTCCAAGAAGGTTCACCAAAAAAAAAACAAGGTAATTTGCGGAAAAGTTCAGCAAAAAAAAATATGTGTAACTTGGAGTAATGCTTTCGTTGGGAGGCTGTTGAAAATAGGTACGCTATTGCGGTGTGTATTTTGAGTTTTCAGTATTATTTTCCTTTTGCAGTTTTCCATCACCATAAAGCCATAAAAAATTCATAGTATTTTTCAAATTTTCAGCATTACAAAGCCAAAAATGTAATTTTCAAAACAATTTAACCATTGTCAGCTA